TGGGATGCAGTGCGGGCAGCTCCAGGAGAGATTTAGGGGTGGCTGTGTCCCTTCTTCCCCTCTCTGCTGCTCCATCATTTACTTTTATGGCTCTCAGCTGTGAATCTGCTGCAGTTCTGGGAAGCGCAGCTTCGCATTGATCTTAATGGGTCCTTAAATCAAAGGCATCACTGCAGGAGTGCATTGGCCAAATGGTTCTGTGCTTCTCCTTCCAGAAGGGGATGGGCTGTGGGTGCACGGCATGTCTGAACCTCAGAAATGCAGAGGCACCCCGTGCAGGGCTGAAAATCCCAAACAAAGTAACAGCACTGTCATGTTCACGATGATTACTACCATTCTTGCTTATTCTGATCTTTATTTCAGATTTGCAGTTCTGATTTCCCCAGTTTTTCTTTGCCTAGAGGCTTCTTTTCAAGAAGTCAACATCAAATATCATTGATACAGGAGCCCTGGGGATGCCATAACCCCAAATTTTCCAACATGGGAGCAGGTAGAATCATTTACCCCATGACTCTCAATGTTCTCAGAAGAAACCCACCACGTTCTGTCTGCTTTTTCTCATTTTACAGAAGAAAAGGCTATTTTCCAGGCTTGCTGTAGCCCACGGAGGAGGCAGACAACATTAAGCCAGCTAAGGAAATGACCAAGCACTAACTCCCCTGCAAGGTATTCATTACATACAATCTCTGCAGTAACCCCACCGTTATTTTCCAAGACAAAAAGGCAAAAAAAAAAAAAAAAAAAAAAGAAAGAAAGCAAAGTTCTTTCTTGGCTTTTCTCATTTGCTAATCTACTTTGACATTTATTAGCAATTATTTATATCCTTCCCCACTGGCTGTTTGCGGTGTAATTTTTCAACAAAATAGGCATTACTCAATAAGAACCTCTGCAAAAAGGCAATTATGAAACGCGACGGAGCGCCTTGCAGGGACTGAAAGAGGGGTTGGGGGCTCCTTGTGACACAAGAGGTCTGTTCTGGGATCGATGGAGCTGAGCAGGAGCAGGTTTGGTCCCTTCCAAAAGGGCACAGGGACTGCTCCTACTGTTTGCATCCATTGCGTGGCACAGAAGGAGGCGGCGTATGTAGCAAAATGGCTTTTGGCACCTCCTGGGTGATAAGTTCCCTTGTCCCCGTTGGGTTTGGTGATGAGGAAGACTGGAAGAAAACAGGATTCTTGTTCCTTAATGAAAACGCTCAGTGCAGGAGGGCTCCCATGAGTTCCCAGAAAGCCACAAGGTAGTGCAGAAACGAAAAAGCTTCCAGCCGAGCGCAGCAGGAGGGTTTCCCCATTTCACCCTTCTGCAGAGCGGAGCTGCTTGGCTCTGCAAAATCCCCCTGAGAGCCACTTTCCTGAGAAAGGGTTTATATGGCTCCTTGCACGCAACCAGCTGCATCCATAGGGGAAACAAAGCTCTGTATCGTGATAAAGGGGATTGCTAGGAAATAAAGGTGCATTTTGCAGCCCTGCATCACTGATGGGCATGGACAGAGCTGGGGGCAATGCTTGGGGTGATACTGGGGGCGACGTTGTCCCCTCTCATCCTACCCCATCGGGGAAAAACATGCAAAACCCATCCCAGAAGGGTTGGGGGAAGGCAGGAAGCAGCGAGGGGTGAGAGCATGAGCTGATGAGGGTGGGGGACAGCCCGCGCCGTTCTGCTCCGCTGCAGCTCTCACCCAAAATTATCAGCCCTGCTGCTGTAGTTTTGCTGGGGAGGTGTGACTTGATTTTCATTTTCCGAATCATTTCCTGGCCAGGACCCACACACGAAAGCTGGGTTACTCAGCACCAAGAGCTGCAGAGCTGGTCTGGTTCTGCTGAGCGCTTTCACGCAGCGTTGGCTCTATCAGATCCATGGAAGCTGGAGATGGAGCGTTGCACAGATTGCTCAGAAGTGTGAGTTTGACACTGTGCAAACCTCTGTGGCCTGTGTGCATGCCATGGGACTGACACTGCTGCAGTAGCATGGCATCCATTGTGCAACAAGAACCCCTCCAGGCGATGATGTGCTTGCTAAATCATCTGTGCTCTTTTAGGCAGTATGCATCAGCCTCTGCTGGCACCAAATGCCCCCTGAGAAGAGATGAAGCTCAGCCACAGAGCTGCAAATTCGTGCAGCTAAAATACAAGAAGCTTGTTCAGTGCATGGATTTCTTTATGGCCAATGAGTTTTAGCAGTTGCTACTGAAGAAAAAAGGGTATTTTTCTGCTTGTGCAAAATATTACCACATCGCTTGCAAAAAGAAAATGCCATCCCTGAAATTAGGAGGGACAAACCCTGCTGGAAGACATCCGTGAGGATCACTGTGAAAAGGACCTCGCTTGAATTAACAGCTGGAGAGCAGCAATGGAAATATTCATGATCCCCAGCCAGTAAAAGGCTCTGCAGCATTAATTAGAGCTGTTGACTGAAAGCAGAGGTTGGCTGAGCTCTGCTCTGATCTGAGTCATGGAGAGCCACGTGCTGCAAGGTTTGGGGAAAGAGAGCACTGGGCTGCAGGTGGGATTTTCCATGGTGCTGGGTGATGGAGCATTGCATAAATAGCATTTAGTGTGGACCTGTCTGCCTGCTCCTTGTGTGGGCACTGGTTGCAGCCAATGGAGCTCAATGAGGCAGTGGTTTGCTCTCTCATAGGCATCCCAGGAATGTGGAGATGGATAGAGAAGCCACTTTTGCAGTAGCAAAAGGTGGAAGATGATGTGGTGACGGTTGGACCAGATGATCTCAGTGGCCTTTTCCAACTTCAACCACTCCATGTCTCTATGAAAACAGAGAGGATGGAGACCCTCTCCGTTATCCCACTGGAGGCAGAGCCCTGCACACCTGCAGCAGGAGCCTGGCCTTGGGGTGCTCTGCACCTCAGAGAAAGTCTGAGGGCTGTGCAAACCACTTCCTCAAACTCATTGCTGCTCTGCCACCATTGGAAGCAACGAAGACTGCTGCAAAAAACAGACGTGTGCACTGGATGGTACAGGGGGAAAACATGGGGGAGAGTGGAGTGGGTGCCTTCCCTGCCCTGGAGGATGGCACTGTGGGTCCCTGCCCATCGCTCTATCCTCCTTTATCCCCCAGACACAGCCTGAGCTGTCCTTATGGAGCTCTCCACAGCTCTCCTTATGGAGCCACAGCCTTCCAATGCACTTGGGATAATGAGATGGTCCCTTGGAGCAAAGCTGATTCCATGCACAAATGACTCAAAGGGGAGACAGGCTGGGCTCAGATAGACAAATACCTTTGGGTCAGGCAGAAAAAAGCTGCGGCGACTCTACCATGCCATCCATCTATGCTTGCTTGGGGAAGGAGATGGCTGCACACGTTGGGGCTGCAAATGTGCATGCCATTGCCCAGGGGGACAGAGAGCTCTCTGCATGTCAGAAGTCAAAGGAGCTCCCTAAGGGGATGGACTGAAAGGAAGATGGACTGAGAGGTGGAAAGCTGTAGGTGCAGAGGAGTTGCCGTCCTCACCGTCCCCCCCCAGCCCAGGCCTAGCAGGAGTGCAGTGAGGCACCAGGTCATGCCAAGCCACATGATCTGCGGGGTCGGAGCAGCGACAACAACAGGAACAATCTGTGGGAGAGGAACTTAGGATGAGCCCAACTTCTCTAAAAGTATAAAAAGACCCCGGGGGCCGCAAAGGCACCAACTGCACACCCTCCTCTGCCGCCGCTGCCACCACGCAGCCCCTGACGGTTGGAGCTGGCGTTGTCCTGGCGTTGTGCAATACAGTGGCTGCGCTCTTGGCATCAGCTCACTGCTTGCTTTCTCTGCCAGAAAAGGAAACACAACCGCACCGATGTGCCTTTGCAAGAGAGCAAACGGCTCTGCTCTGCATGGGCTGCGTGCGGGGGGATGCTGGCACGGAAAGGGAGAGTGAGCAAACTGCACCTCAAATCCCATTAGAAAGCAGCAGAGGAGGAAACTGCGAGGAAATTGCAAGGAAATCTGCTTCCTGTAAGAGAGACTCATGCAGCTCAAAGCGGGAGTGGAGCCACTTAATTCAATCTGCTGGCAATCCAAGCAGGTTGTCAGCACCTTGCTGGATGGCCAATTGCTCGCAGCAGGTTGCTCCTGCTGTGCATGCTCTTCTTTTGTAAAGAAATCCCTCCCCAGCCCCAGGTAGTGCAGAAGGAAAGTGACAGCCTGAAAGGAGCACAGCACTGAGCTTTGGAAATGGAGAAGTGCTGTTGCCCTGCTGCTTGGCATGCAGATTGTTCAATCCATTGGCAGCAGGGATGTGGTGCTCAGAGCTCACCCTCAGCTTGGGGCATCCTTCCTCAAGCACAGAGCTGTACCCTTGGCCACTGAGCCTCCAGGTCAGCAGCTCCAATAGGGACCATGCAGCAGCCTGCAATTTAAGGATTTTAGCTTGACTTCACTCTGGAGAGTAAAATGTTTTGCTGATTGGAGAGAATGGAATAGCGAGGGGAAAAAATTGATGGCAAAATCTGAGGACTCCTGCTCAAACCCCTGAGGGGGGAGGGTCACGGGAAGGAACCAGGAGCAGAGTTTCCAGGAATTCTGATTTAAAACCAATAGCAATGGGGAAGAAGCAGGCAGAGATGCTGCTTCTGACCTGAAATTACTGCTTGGAGGTGGACATCTCCTATGCAGTGCTGAATGGGAAGGTCCTCGGTGTTCAGGCTGCTCTCCTTCACGTGTCACCTCCTGATGCTGGGAGATGTCCCAGGGCTGAAATGGAAAGTGAAAGCCCTCTGTCATGTTCGTTTCCCCTTAGCAATTGCTTGTTCACCTGGAGAGCTTACACAGAGCGATGGACTGGGGAGGTAATCTCATTTCCAGGCAGTGCAGGGATGGGGATACCCATCTGTACCCCCCCCGTGCTGCTGCCATGACCCTCCTGCTCCCCATGAGTTGGTCTGGCCCATCCCAGCTGCTGGAGGTCTCCTGGGGACGTGGGATTTGCCCACAAGCACAAGAAGACATTCATACAGCTACTGGGAGGGGGGTTGTGAAAGGCCAGCACATTTTTTTTTTCCTCTAACAAATGACCTTTGTCTTTGCTTTTATTTTCATTTTCAGGCTCTGACCTTGCAGAGGTCAGGCGGTTTAAGAATCTTGGCAGGATGAAAAAAGCAGGATTCGTCCTCCTAATTGCTTTATCTCTCTGGCCACCACGTCATCCTGCTTCGGCCAAGGTCAGTAATTTTCCTAAATCATCGTGTCCCAGAATGACACAGGTCAGAGCCCAGAGGACACATGGAGCTCATGCTGAAAGGCGCAGCCTTTGCACAAACACCCATCGCCTGCTCGGCTTTGTCTCTCCATTTGAGAGCCTGTGAAGTTCTTGTTTTGCAGAAAAAGGAAGAATGATTCTGATGTAACAACAGGACTCTGGGAGCTGGAGATTCATGGGGGAAGAATAAGCAAATAGCAAGCAGCTCTGGATAAAGTGGTGAGAAAGCACATGCAGCGAGCTGTCATTGCTTTGCCTCTTGAGTATGGCTGATTGCATGGGGCCATCCCCACCTGGGGCAAGGAGCAGCCCTAAGCACCCATCAGCTAGATGTGCTGCTCTTAATTAACCCTGATTAATTACCAGGTGGGAACACGTCCTCCCCTGTGCACTGAGAGCAGCACAACCAACCTGCAGTTAAACATTGACGAGTTGCCTCCTGACAGTGGATTTCCTGGAATCCTTTCAGCTAAGGTCATCCTTTCGGATGTGCTACAGAGCTGATTTAAACACCCACTGGGAAAGGTTCTTTTTCAGCCTTTTGTTGCCACTGATGGGTCAGCATGACATATTCCTGTTGTGCATGTGGGCTGGTAGCTCCAGCTGGAGGGCCATGTGGCACTGAGCGTGCCATGCGAAGTGCTGCCCTGGGGGATTGCTTTCCCACTGATTCCTCTCCTTGAATTGCTCCTCGAGCCACGGAAACAGCTCTTAATCCATCTTCTTAATACCTGTGCTTTATTCCTTCCCATTAGTGACTGGATCAGCAGCTCTTTGAAAGTAGAAGTGGCCCAAGCGCTTTGCTCTCAGCTCTCACAGGTAAGCGTGGAAGTCTGGGTCAAGAATATTGTATGTCCCCCATGCTTCCCCACGACACCTCTGTCTCAGCAGAGCATTTTTCTGTTCATTTGTGCAGTTTCAGCCTGGGAGATTTTCCCCATGGTAGTAATTTTTTTCTTCTTGCAACCAGAGCGCATTTGAGAATTCATTTCTGAAACCTCCCTGCTGCTAATTTTACACCAGGGGGCCATCAGAAAGAACGCGAGAGAAATGAAATCTGTTATTTTGGTGGCTGCATCACCCTACCAGGGATGGTGGGCAAAGGGAAACCCACAGACCTCTCCTCTGCTCACCAATACCGAATCTCCTGTCTCAGTTCCAGTAGGTTTGTGTGATGAAGACTCAACCAGGGCCCAACGTGACATCGTTCAACCCTCTTTCGGCAGCGGCACCTCTATTTCTCACTTGGTAAGGGCTCTGCCTTCTAACCAAACACTTCATTGTGATCATGTCTCATTGGCATCTTAAACACAATCAGTATGAGGAAATACATAGGTGTGCTGGGAATAGACAAGTTCCCAGGGAGATTATTCATTTTACAGGGCTGCCTTAGGCTAAGATTTGGGACTGGGTGAGGTGGGAGCCCAACTTTACCCTGAGGCAGATTGCTTCAAGCCACCCTTTTCCCCTCCCCCAGTAATTTGCTCCACGTTCTTTCCAAGTCTGGAATTTAAATACAGTGAGAACACATCTGTGAATTTTTCTGCTATTTGTGAAGGTGCATGATAAGTACTGATGGGTGGATTGGGATGTATGCACTGGTTGGGGACAGGTGCAGAGTTTGGGGATCTGATGGGACCGCACTGATCAGGAACCAAAGCTTCCTTGAGTTCATCTCGCTTGAAAAGGACAGGCAATTGCAGATCCTGCCTCAGGTCAGAACGAAAGCCAGAAAGGATGCTCAGGGTCAGAGTAGGAAAGTGGTTTCCTTCATGGCTCGTTAGTTATCTGTTTCATCTACCTCTTCTTGAGGGCAGGGTAGGACAGTTCTCTCACTGCCGAACAAAGATTGGTATGGGCTGTGTGGTTGTATCTGGAAAAACCACATCCAGACATCTTCAATTCTGGAAGGGTTTGGGTTGGCATCTAGTGATGCTCTGTGTCACAGAATCAGAATTGTTCCAGTTGGACTAGATGACCTTTATAGGTCCCTTCCAACTCCTCTGCATTGAATGTGGACATCTACGTCTCGATCTGGGTGCTCGGATCCCAGTGTCAGCCCACAGTGTGAATTTGCAGGTGACCCTGCCCCTCACAGCAGGGATCAACTTGTGTCAACAAATACAACGGGGAGTGTGAGCCATGTTCAACCTTGGAATTGCTCCCACGACCATTCCCATCAGCAGTTGTGGTGCTTTCTTGAACCCCAATTAATTGGTTATCCCCACCATAGGTACTCAAGATGCCCAACAGTTCCTCCACCGTCAACGCTGTATCTCAAGGCTTTTGGCACTCCATTTTTGAGCCAAGAGGTTTTGACACCACAGGAGACCTCACCTCCTGCCTGGTGAGCTTTTTCCCCTTTCCTGGCCCTTTGGTGTGCCAACAGAGCATGGCATGGGACAGCCTGCCCCACAACGCACCCATTGTATCTCCGTGCGGTCCATGTTCGACTCTGATTTTTTTATTTTTATTTTATTTATTTTATTTTTTTTGGAGAGGCCAGATTTTGACCATAAAAGGGAAGGATGGAATGTTGGGCGACAGCCCCGATTGGCTGAGCACCTTCTCATGATGGTTTCAGGGGAAATAACCAGGTCGGAGTCATTTTCCTCTCCCCTCCCATCCCGAGTCAAGAATGAAAACAATGCGACCAAACCGTGTGGTTCACCATTGAAACCAAGGCAGGACTTTTTGTGTCTGTGCCTCCTACTGTTCTTGGTTCCACCTGCATGAAACCGAGCCCTCGCTTCTGTGTGTCCCATCCAACATCTCTGTGGCCACCGTTGGTTGATGCTATCTTGGAGGTGAATGGGAGTGATTCGGTGGCCACGTTGGCCAGGAACCCACAACTGCCTCCTGCCAACCTGACAGCCTTCTGCTGGGAGAACTCAAGAACCTCCTTCTTGTGGTTGCATATCCTATATCCAAAACCTGGCAGAACAAAGTGCCTTTGTGCTTGGACACCCCTCCCACCCAGCTGCGTTGTGGCTGCCCTCATTAGATCACTTCTGCGGCTAAAATAGGACTTCACTCTCGTGACTCATTTGCCTAAAATGTGCCACCAGCACTGACTTACAACCTTTAATAAAAATGATAAAGAAGCTGAGAGAGTTTCCTGGAAACCTTGTCAGCCTTGAGTTGGGAGCAGATGTTGGCAGCAAGCAAAGTATTTTTAAGCTCCATAAAGGCATTTTCCTGTTTAATGATTACCCTGAGAAATCTCAAGGCTGAATCAGAGTGTTTGTGATCAGCTTCACCCTGCTGGGAAAGCCGCACCCAGAGAAAAATTCTCCTCTCCTCACCTTCACCCAGTGAGAACAAGCTGGTGGTGTGGGTAACACTGGCCCTGAAGCCAGAAGCTGCTCCCAGTCGTCACCAACTTCTTCCTGTTTGCCCTCCATTTGCAGCAGCTCTGGTGCCAGTCCTAGCAGGCGCTGAGCAAGCCCTGGTTAAGAAGAAATTCTTCTATTCGCTGCATTCTCAAGGCTTTGAGAATAGTCTTTTTCCTACAGAAACTCTTCTCAGCCTCCTGCCTGCAGGAATCCCCTTTGCAAGGGAAAACGTTCTCAGTGCTGGTTGTTGAGGCTCATTGAATGAGTTGTTGAGGCTCATTGAAGCCTCTTTGGTACTTAGTGCAAATCTTCTCCCCTGTTGCTCCTCCACGTCAGCATTCTCCCTCTTTCTGGGGCAGCACTTTGCAGACAAGCTCCAGAGACCTTTTACCATCACCCACCTTTCCATCAGGCCACTCGCTCTGATCCCACCCCATGGGTGCCATTTCTCTCCCAGGACAGCAGTGCCTTGCATCACTTCACCACCTGCTGCAATTCCTCTTGTTGGTGCTACCACAGCTGTTTCTTCAGCAGCGACCGCAGCGACGAGCACTGAGACCTATCGCAGCATCACTGCTTGTCCCCACAAAACCAGAGGGGAACCAAAGCATCTTACTCATTGGTATTGGAGCAGTGTACCCCATCACCTCCCTCCTGCTCCTGGGCAGTGGTTTGGGAGAGGAGGAAGAGGTTGCTGTGCTCATTTTGGGGCAGAGAACTTGTTCCTGGTGCCATTCTCCACCGTTGTGGGTTATATGCAATGCTTGGCTTTGGGGTTTTGGATAGCCAAAGCCTGGAAGGAGGCTTTTTTGCAAGATAAGGATGATGGTGGCACTGGGAGGGTTGTTATCTGTGTGGTTCAGGGTGATGAAGCAGCTCTGAAAGCTGCAGCAGGAGCATGGGTAGGACCAACACAGCCAAAAGTTTATGCAGTGGTTTGCTGCTGGTTTTGCTACACAGATTTGAGTCATCGGGTCCTTGGGTCTGAGCTGTGCTGCTCTGCACTGTGCGGGGCATTAGCTGCTGGAAGCACAGCCTGTGTCCTCTGGGCATTGTGGATGTAGGCTTGTCCTCATAATATCCCATGGGTAGAGCTGTAGTGATGTCCCCACTGTGAACACAGAGGAGAGGGGCTGCATCTGGAGCTCCGATTGCTCCTGCCTGGGGACCCCCAGGATGCTGTGAGCCCTGATCCCGTGCAGGGTGCAAATGGGAAATACTGAGTGGGAGAAAAGCAGGAGATTTATGGGTAACACCGACCTCGCACAAAGCATGGCACCCCATCTCAAAGGGCTGTTTTGCCCTGCTAGGGTGGGGACATTGCCTCAGCAATAGAGCCCAGCAACCAGCAGACGAGCATTGGGAAAAAATTAATATAATAATAATAATTAAAACCCAAGAGCTGTAAGTAGATGACAGCTCAGCTGGGCCCTGTTCCTTATTTGCATAGCTGGGCTCTATCTGTATGAGGTGCCTGGCTACCAGATGTTAGCACATTTGCATGTAGGGTGAAGGGAGGGGATGTGGCAGTCCCAGGGGTGTCAGCGTTGGATGGAGATTGCCACCCAGTGGCTGTGCTCAGCGCTACCTTCAGCCCTGTGGGCACCCAAAAATACAGCATCGCTGCTGCAGGCACGAATCTGGTGCTTTGCTTTCCATCTGCAATCTGGGTACAGGGCTCAGAGCTACAGCTGTATTTTTGTATTGACATTACTATTCAAGAATTGCTCTTAGTGCTTGCAGCAGAACTGTTTTTACCCATACAGCAAGTTCCTCACCCTTATTTCCACTAATTAAGTGAGTCTCACCTTCATATAAACACCTCCCCAGCAGCTGGTGGTGGCCCCTTTCAACTCAGCTGCTGTTAATGAAGCTAATTAGGTGCAGGGTGCTTTTGTTACAGCATTGGCTGCTGCCTTTGTGGTTGTGTGCTTTGTAGGTGACTTGTCCTGGGGGTTGTGTTTGGTAAAGGAATGGACTGCTTGGTTATTCCTTTTTCCTGTTGCTGGAGCTATTAGGGCAGCACTGTCCTAAGGGTATTACTTGTGAAGCATCTCTTGAAAATGCTCTGAGCCTGCCAGCAGGCTTTCTGTAAAGCTTCCTAGTGAGCAGGAATGACTCGGTTCCAAAGCTGAGGGAAGATAACAAGGTGATCTCTTCAGGTGGAGTATTATTTCTTGCATGATATTTGGGAAGGCCACACCAGTCCTGGTGAAGAAATCTCTCTGTTAGCTGTGTTCCCAGAGATATAAGGAGCATCCTACAAAATCTCAGCCTCCTGCTTGCAGGATCACCCAGTGCTCTTGCAAGGGAAACGTTGCTGGTTGTTGCAACCTGGCTCTGGGGTTGCTTTTGCTTTGTGCAAATTGCTCTGTAGCACGGAATCATAGAATGGCCTGGGTTGAAAAGGACCACAACGATCATCTGGTTTCAATCCCCCCTGCTATGTGCAGGGTTGCCAAGCACCAGACCAGGCTGCCCAGAGCCAGGGTATGGCCCAATCTGTCTTTGCAGGACAGCTTTCGTGGGAACTGCTCAGCCATGGCTGAACTTTCTCTTGCTGCAAAACTTCTTTCCTTTGTGTCAGCATTTAGTTTACGCTTTGCTCATCTGGGAGGGGGGAGGAAAAAAAAATAGAGAGAGAAAAAAAAAAAAACTGTCTCCAAACCATTTCCTCTTTCTGTGAGAGGTAGTGCTGAACCAGAAGATAAACACAGCTTGCTGCATTCAATGAGACTCTGCTCCAGCTCCTCTGGGCTGCATTTTGGGGGGTAGAATTGATATTTTTGCTCTGTGATGGTTTGGGCAAGTGACGCTTGCTCTGAGTGCTGTGAGCTGGAGCAGCAGTGTGGAAGGTGGGAAGCTGGGATAAGGTGTGTGCAGTGCACAGAAAGGAGGTAGATCCCAGCATTGCATCCATCCCTAGGGCTGGATGAAGTATGGGGGCAGCAGGCCAAGCTCTGCTGGCATGGCTGGGTGAAGTGGGACCAAACTGCATCGCTGCATGCAGCCACGAATCAACCTCAGCAAATATTCTTACCTCCCTCTGTGCCAAAGCAAAGGTGCAGAGATGGGGGTGTTCTGCAAAGGGCTCCGTGGCAGCAATGTCTACAACTTACCAGAAACTGCATGCTGACAGAAGCCAATTTCCCTTTTTCTGATGGGTTTTACTCCAAAAACCCCTCTGTAAGTCCTCATCTGTGCATTTTAGGGTGGGAAGACAAGGGGCTGCATGCAGCTAGGAAGCAAACCTGCTTGGGGCCACCTGCTTGAGGCTCTTCAGGAGCAAACCACCTGCTTTGAGATCCCAAACTGAGCTGAACCCTCATTTGCAGAGAAAAATCACTTCACAGCTGGGAGGCCTGAAACCTGAATCCCCTTTGAATTTCCTGAGCTGTTTGTATGAAGCTGTGCTGGTAACAGATGGATGTTTAGACACAGCGATTCAGGTGAATGTGGCATTAAAATGCCTGGGGAGCCAGAAAGCCTGCTTCTGTGGAAGTTTCTTGACAGGATTAAATCTTATTTCCCCACTTGCTGCTGGTGGTTAGCAATGCAGGACGCTAAGGATGCTCAGCACACAGGAGGGATGCGCTTTAGCAGCTCCAGGTTCACAGCAGGGAAAGGATTGCTGTGCTGGGATTTCTGCCCAGAGCTCTGCTTTGGGTGCAGGTAAATGGAGGTCAGGGCTGTGACCTCCCGCAAGGCTGTGCACATTCAGCCCTTTCTGCACCGAGTGGGAGTGCAATGAGCCCCTCCAGACTGCAGCTGAGCCGGGGTTACTGGGCACAGCTGAGCAAAAATGTCACCCCAAGAGCTTTAGAGAAAGCAGAAATTGAGCTTTTTTTCCCCCCTAAATTAGCCCAGTGAAGGCACTGCGGGGTTTCAAAATGTAATCTCTTCTCAAACTTCCTTAAAAATTTGACTGCATCCTTCATTAAGCTTTCTTTCCCTAAGGCTGAGGGGGGAGGGCAGCCACCTCCCGGTGCTGATCTTTGCAAGTAACTGCTTTTGTTTCAGATGATTTCAGAAAGCTTCGGAACAAAACAAAAAACATCCCTTAGACTTCAGGTACGAGGTCTGAGAAATTGCTTTTGGAACAGATCAGCTTTTTGTGCCCTATCCCTCATATCCACCCTATTTATAATCATTGAATGGCTCCTTCAGTGGTGTCACCTGAGAAGGATTTTTCAAAGTGCTTCAGTATGGAAACGATACAGACTTAAAGGGTGCCTGGCTTTGTCATTCAGAGCTGTTACATTCTGCTGATCTCATCGTTGGCACATGCTGAGATGGAGGGAATTAACCTGGGAGGGGGATTTGGGGAGGCAAAAGCAACCGAGCACAGGAACCCAAACGGAGCTGCAGCAAGCCTAGCGCTGGGGAGGTCAGATTGGGACCGGTACGAGGGAAATGCCTTTGTATGGAGAAGATGGAGCGTTTCCGTGCTGCTCTGAGATCCCCATCTGGCTTCTGTTGGAGGCTGCCTCCCTCTAGCGAGTGCGAGCAGAACCCGCAGGCAGCTGCTGTGCCTTCAGCTCTGTGCTGCAAGAGCTGCAGGTGCTGTGCAGGCTATGGATGCATTGCTGTGCTTGCATCTCGGTGCTGTGCATGGTGTGGGTGTAATGCTGTGCGTGCACCTCAGGTGTTGAGCTGCATGCATCTCAGGTGCTGTGCTTGCACCTTGAGCATTCTGCTTGCATTTTGGGTGCTATGCACTCCCTGGATATCTCCTCTTCCTTGTGTGCTATGCACATCACAGCTGTTAGTTTAATCAGAGCATCTGAGCTGAGGGTTCAGCAACTGCTTGCTGTGCTCTGATATATAGGGAAGAGTAGCAATGCCCAGGACAGCAGCGCAGACTGTTTCATGTCCTTGCAAGAGGTCTGCAAATACAGAGGTAAGTGAGCAGCGTGAATTTATGGTGAGTTAGTTCTCTGCATCGAGTGGCTGCTGTGTTTTCCATCCCATCCCATGTCCCCCAGGCAGGATTTGCTGTGCAGTTGGTTATTTGTTTGCTGTTAAGGGCATGCTGTCATCCAACAAGCTGTATGATTTCACTGCATCCTCGAGGGCTCGCCTGCAGCTCTAGCTCCTCCAGGCTGCATGAACAATCAGTGCAGGCAGAACAAAGCTGCACCACCACCCAAGGGTGCTCCGTGCACATCTGAAGGGAAATTTATTTCCCCAGCAGCAAGAATTTGCAGTTCATGCTTTTTGCTGGCAGGGGCAACAAAGGCTGCTGGAGGTTTCATAAGAAGATGCTCTTTTTTTTGTGCCTGGGGAGGTGGATTTGTGCCTAACTGAGAGGCACGGCAGCTGCACTGGGCCCCTGAGGAGCAAGGGAATAAGAGAGGATGCATAGGCAAGAGAGCTGATGAATGGCATCAGACTGCAGTGGCTGTTCTGATCTCATATAGGGAATGAGCAGGGTGCACTGCACCAAATGCCAAAATAAATGAGCTGAATGTGTTGTAAAAATGGAGCTTACAGATGCCTAACAGCAGTGTTGCAGAGTGTGCTTGGCTAATTCGGCTGGTTGCTCTGAAAATCAATGTTGTGGGGCAATAAAAGCCACAAGGCAGCTTTGCTTGTGTCAGGATTGTAGAGTAAGAACTGCTCTCCATGCTCCTTACAATGCGGATCTGTTTCTGTTGTGCTTCTGTCCTGTTTGCTACAGGCCCAGTGTCAAGCAGAACTCCATCCAGCCTGCATCCAGCATAGCAGCAATAAACCCACTGCACCCATGTCCTTCCCACCACGCATCCTAGGGCTGCTTTCCTTCCCACCTCTCCTGGGCTAATGGGATCAGCCACCAGCCAAGGCTTTCACTTCAAAGCTTGCTTGGCCTCCCCACCCCCCCTTGTTTTGCTTTGCTCTACTGCTGAATTTCCTCCCTCCTTGAAGATACGTATCTCCCCTTGCCCTTATACAGCACCCATTACCCTGCTACCTACGTGTCACACTCCTGTGACCCTCACTAAATCTCCCAGGGATGGAGAGGTCTGCAGGGCCGATAGTGACAGTCCCACAGGTGCCATATAA